GAGCCTGCGGGGCAACAGTCTACTTACCCCTTTCATCTTACACAGAAAATGATCTCCTGGGGCTGTACTCATTCAAAGTGAATGCGTGGAAGCCTAGTTCATTGTTTGCCTGGACAAATCACCTCCTCACCCCGTTTCCAAGTTTATGGGGCTTATAATGAAGGGGATCGTTGGTGGGAGAGACCCTTGTTTAATAATTAAACAGGACTAGGGCATTAAAAGAAATGGCCCGGCAGCAGATAGCTTTGGGTCAAGAGCCTCAAAATTAAGGGAGGAATTGAAGGGAAAGGAAAAAAGAGAAAAAGGAAGTACCACTCAAAGAGTTAGAGTTTCTGGCACCAGGAAGCTTTCCTCCCTTCTCAGGTGCAGAATGAGCCACAAAACAGGAGTTCAATTCATGCTAATTACCTTCTCCATTACTTTCCTGTTTTTTCCCCATAACTCTTTAAGTTTTCTCTGAAAAAACAAAAACAAAACCTTTCTGTTTTCTGCCTTGCTGGATTGATATTTCCTTCGATGTCTCTGAAGGCAGATCTGGTTATCACAAATAAACATTTCTTCCTGTTACAACGGGAAGCTCACTTTCCCACTGTCCATGAGCTTTCCTTGTCTACATGGCAATAATTCTACGGCCAGCAAAGGGTTGTGTGAGAAACCTTCCCTCGCTCTAATGGAACAGGCCTAAAGTACTTCTATGAGCAGCCAGATTCTTGGTGAGCCACTGGCCTCTGACCATTCTTTCCAACAGCCAGGACCGTAGGGATGTGTCCCGGACTCAGTCGCCGTGGGGCATGCACAGGGGCAGAGCCACACAGGGGGTCTGAAAAGGCACTTCCAGTCCCTCCCGGAGGCTAACGTACACTTGGGACCTCTCCCATGAAGCCGACATCAGCCATTCAGTCACTGAATTATTTCCCTAATAAGATGCCACTCCTGGCTGACAACCTGAATGCGAGAAAGGCGGTTGTGTAAAAAAATAAATAAATAAAAAGAAGGGTGTGTTTGGAAGAAAGGTCCTGTTGGAAAGTCACGAAGACTGACCTATGTGTGCTGGGGGTTAAAAGAGACACAGCAATTCCTTTTGAATAATATCTTCACCTTTTCCCTTTTCAAACGGATGGCAAATGGGTTCTGAAAAAGATGCTGAGCCCTTATAATGTCTACCTGTGGCTACATTTTATCTAACTTCAATAAAAGCAGCACCCCACAGAAGTGGGGGTGTCCAGGACATACTTCCTGATCTGTACAAACATAAAAAAACTTCCTTGTTCACAGGCAGCTTTTTACTCAGGGGCAGATGGTGGGGTGAGGGACTGGGGGCAGGGCAGACGGCAGGAGAAAGAGGAGAAGGAAGGAAAATGCCTCTTAAAGGAAATTCAGACAATTAAATTTCCACCACATGGTCACCAACCTCAGGAAAGGTTTCAATAGAATAAAGAATCTTGGGCTCAGAAACCTTGACGCAGAGGCTGCGAAATCAAGGTCTCTGGAATGTGCAGACAGGAAAAGTTCTGTGTACGGCATCACTGCTTTTGGCAGTGAACTTGCAAATTAACATCAAATGCTGCGCAGTCAGGCAACTTCAAGCAATTTCAGATAAGTACAGTCATAATTCATCTCTAGTCAAACAATGTGAGAATTTCATAAGAGCAACAGGAAAGGTTCTAGAAGGAAAGAACACTTCTAATTTCCATTGTTCTGCAGACACTCCCTCTCAGGCAGTGATTTTTTTTTCCCTGGTTGCTAAGTAGGAGTCTGCTTATTGGAACACAAGAAAAGGTAAGCCATATTTTTCCATGCCAGTGAAGGAGAAGGGTGATTGTTTAATTCTTATATCACTCTGGGCAGCTGATCTGCAAAGTGCACTTGTTTGTGTGATTTAGCAGAGTCTGTGCTTTCTTGGCCTCCCACCCAGGTAACTGGAAAAACATCCATCCAATGAGGGGATGCCCACGGGGGTTCCAGCTCTCTCTCTGGCGTTGAGACTTGCTTGCAGATTGAGCTAGCACTGTGCAAAGTATTTGACTTATTTTTGTTTACTCTGAAAAATGGGAGGAAGGTTCTGAAACTATTTATATAAGCTTCAATGTTGCTAAAAAGGTACATAAATTTCCCCTAAAGTGCTATGTAATCCACAAAAAGTTTGTTACACACACAGTAATAGCAACCATTATACCCGAGTATCTATAGTCATGACTGTGACCCAGACTTGATCAGGTCAATCATTTAGTGTTTACTGAGGCTTCTCCCGCTCTTAAAAGTTCAATGTTCATAGCAGCACAATTTACAATAGCCAAGAGATGGAAGCAACGTAGGTGCCCATCAGTAAATGAATGGATCAAAAAATTGTGGTACATATACACAATGGAATTCTATGCAGCAGAGAGAAAGAAAGAGCTACTACCCTTTGCAACAACATGTTTGGAACTGGAAAGCATTATGCTGAGTGAAATAGGCCAGGTGTTGAAAGACAAATACCATGTGATCTCACCTTTAACAGGAAGCTAAACAACAAAACAAACAAGCAAGCAGAAAAAAAAACAAACAAAGACACTGAAATAGAGAACAAGGGGACAGTGACCAGAGGGGAGAGGGAAGGGAAGTTAAGGGGAAAAAGGGGGAGGGATTTGGAGGAACAAATAGGAAGGACACAGGGACGAGAACTAAGGGGGGTGGAAATGGGAGGGAGGTGGGAGCAAGGGGCAGGGGAGGCTGGGATGGGAAAAATAGACAAAAAAACTGTACTTGAAAAATAACTAAATAAAATTTTAAAAAATGTTCTATAACTCTGTACCAAGATCACAGACTCCAATGTTTTAAGTGAATAGTAGAGCTTATAAAAAGTGATACAAAACAGGGTTTAATTTTTTTTTTACTTTTCATTTTGAAATAATTATGGACTCACAAGAAGTTACAAAAATAGTACAGAGTTGTCTCTTACACCAGGCACCCAACTCCCCTCAGTATAATACCTTATGTAACTACGGTACATTATCAAAGCCAGGAAATTGGCACAGGCACAAAACCATTCACTAAATACTGTTACCTAGATTCAGACCTTACAGAGATGGAACAGGTTTTTAAAATCACTTGGGCACAGCTGGAGGTAACTTGAACATTGGCATGAAATTTGTCCTTGGGGTAACCTGGTATGGAGAAATGAGTTCACTGTCATCAGATCTACAGATTCGAGCAAATTGTTTTTCACCGAGTCTCAGTTTGTGTATCTAAAGGATAGGAATTCTAATACTGCCCAAATACATTGGTATGAGGAAGCATGTCCAGGCCAGTGAGAGCGGCACATTTTAGGAACCGCAGCTACAACAGTGTCCTTTGTTCCTTCAGACCTTACACTTCAGTTCTCAGGATTTTGTGAGAGTCCCAGGTGAGCTCCTCAAAATCATCTGGTTCTGGATTCCCCACCCCCTCAGGTTGTTCCTGTCTCTTGACAAAGGCACATCCTGAAAATATTTGCAGTGAGAAGTTTCAATTCTGAGACAGGCTTAATACCACTTCTCTTAGAAGCAGGTCCCTATGCCGAGACAGTGACTTGAAAACGTTGGGACCGCCCACTCCCCCCAGCCATCTAGCTGGCCTGGACTCTGTGCACCTGTGGGCTGGCACCCAAGCTGCTTGTTGAGGGTGAGCTGGACTGTCATCCGTTCATTTCCCTCGCCTGGCTTTGAGGTGGACCCTGAGGCTTTGACACTCACTGGAAGTTAGAAGGAGGCAGGGTCAGGTGGTCCCCAGTGGTGGGTTTTCTTTCTGCACCCTGACTACCTGCCGCCCTGTGTAGCTGTGCAATTTGCACTAGTTGCAGCATTGGTCCTGAGGGTGATGATAAAACCCGTATATACGGGCTTCTCCACCTCCTATCTCTTATTGTGTCTCACAATAATTTGTCTATTATATGCCAACTGGGCAAGTGTCATCTTTCGTTCTTTTTTTGGTATGATGCCCACCATGCTTAAATGCCCAATTAATAAAATTTCAGTAACAACGCTCCTCTGGTCTAGTGTTCTGGAGGTAGAGGGTGAATCTGGTGTGCATGTCCTTAGAGCCTGAGTCCCTTGCAGAGGTTCTGGGGTCACCACAGTTGGTGAGAGATGGGGTGGAGAGAGCCAAAGGTTTCATGAGGGCTGTGGGGAGGAGGGCATACACACAGGAGCAGGTGGAGAGAATGGGAGGCCGGAGTGAGGTGAGTATACCTCTGCCTTAAGGAAGCATGCAGTTATTGGGAAGCGCTTCATACTTGGGACCAGCCTGTCTGAACCTTAGCTCTGCCACTGTGTGCTAAAGAGAAGTTCTTTAACCCTCCTCAGACTCTATTTTCTCACCTGTAAGTGAGGATAACAGTGCCTGCCTCTTAGATCATATTATAGTGAAAACAAAACAGAAGTGGAGAAACAGTATCTAGGGCCTCAATCAAGGTAAATTTTCCTATCCACTTTAACCTTCTAGAAATATCTAAGCGCAATTTAACCTGGAGGTGTTCACCTGTCAGTACTCAGGCACTGAGGGCCTAAGACAGTTTACACAGGTTTAAGATTCCGTTCCCACTGACCTTCAGGTTAGTTGTCAAATCTATCCTGAGAGCATATGAGGATTAGGACAAGAATAGTTGCAGGACGGAATTACATTTAGGAAACTGAGGCAGGTTGTGACCCTGAGACCCTCGGTTAACCAGGTGTGAAGGCCTCAGATCTGAAAGGCAGGGTTTTTTTTTCTTCTTTCTCCAAAGCAGCGGGGAACGGGGGGCATGCGGTCTATACCTGTGCTAAAGGTAGCGCTCCCTGCTCTAGCGGCGGCTCGCGGGCACACAAGGGTGCGGAGTGCGGGGGGACAGCAGTGCGCGGCAGATGCCCTGCGCCGGGGCGCACTGTCCTCCCCCGCGGCGCGGCGGCCGCCAGGTGGCACCAGGACCCAGGAACTGGGAGCTGCCCGCGGATAGGGCAGGGCGTGAAGGGGTTAACGGGTGGGCAGGGCCGCGGCGCCGGCGCCTCGGAGAACCCACCCGGGTGCGCGGAGGAGGGAGCGGCCGGGGGCTGCGGAGCCCGGCGCCGCGCCGGGCGGGGGGGCGGCCAATTGGACGGCGGGCCCGGCGCGCGCGGAGCCAGGCGACATGGAGGCAGGCGCGGCAGCCAGCCGCCCGTGACGCGCCGCTCCATCCCGGTGGTCGGTGAGGCCGAACCGGCCCGGGCTCCGCAGCGCGGAGATGAGCAGGTCGGCGGCGCTCCTGCTCTGCCTGCTGGGCTGCCACGTCTGGAAGGCGGTGACCAAGACGCTGCGGGATCCAGGCGCGGGAGCCCAAGGTGGGTGCGCGGTGGAGCGAAAGGCGAGGCCGAGCCGGCGCGCTTTTGTGTGGGCCACGGGCCTGCCGCAGAGGTAGCGGCGGGGAGGCTCTCGGGCCGCATTGTGTCGCGGCCGCTGGAGCCTGGCCTGCAGCCCCCGCGCTGCGCTCTGGAGGGGGCGGCACCGCCCGGGGACGCCGAGGGGCCGGGAGCAGATGCTTCCGAGGGGCTGGGGACAGGTGGGGGTGCGGGTGGCACCAGCTTTGCTGCTTCGGGGGGCACGTTCTAATGCATCCGAAGGTCCTTTTCTTTATGCCTTGACTCGGGTGTGCGGCTTCATCTCCTTTGCCCCAAGCCACAAGGGCAGCCCCCCGGGTCGCCGCTGCCCGCTCTGGCTCCCAGGCTCTGATCCTAGAAGCCCGGGCGCTCAGGCTACGCTCGATTCTTTCTTTCTTTTTTTTTTTTTTTTCTTTTTGTAGTGGCGAGGGGGTGGCTGCTACCCCTTGGATGCCCATTGCACCCCGGGACCCCGAGGTCCACGGCCACTGCCAGCCACTGGCCTGCCGCAGTTCGGGAAAGTTTAGGGGGTCTCCTCCTGTTCCCTATTCGACGTCTTCTCTAGGCCTTGAGGAATTTCCCCATCGCCAAGGAATCATCCCCGAAAGGGGGTGATTCGGTGGAGCTGGGAGGCCCTAATCACTTTAAAACAACAACAGTCATTTCCAGGTCTGCGTGTCTCCAGCTCCTGCCTTTTGTCTAATCTTTGGCCTCTGCAAATCTGCTCTCCAGCCTTGGAAGTACTGTGGTCGCCTCTGAGGAAGGTCAGGCGCCTGTCTTTTGTTTTTAAAGCACGAATTTATTTGGGGGAAACCCCAAAGCCTCCTTTGCACGCTTTTGTGGGGACAGAATCGAGTGCTTCTCTGTCGCCTGCCTTTCCCGCAGACCTCTCCCTGTCTGGTCTCTTGCAAAGGCCCCCCGTAGCCCTGGAGATCACCGCCCGGGCCCCAGCCTCCTTGCCCGTGCCCTTTCCTTGCAGAAGGGTGTGTGTCCTGTGAAGTCAGTCAGAATGAAGAACCTCCCTCCTGTGTCTTCTTGCTGAGACCCTGCCCCATCCTTATGCTAACCCTCTTTTTCCCTTACAACAAACACAGGAGCAGGGAACCTGGGTGTTCTACTCATGATGTTGTATCTGGGAGTAAGATTCTACCGACAGTCTACTGGGTTTAGTTTGTTACCTACACGTTGAATTAAAGGTTTTCATATCCATCCCTTGCTGTACGTTTGCCAGCATCTCTTTCTTGCATTGCCTTTGCTGTAGCTATAGTACGATATGATCATACCATACCATATTCATACCATATTATGAATTGTGTTTAAATGTAGTAACGTATGTTATGGAAGGGGGGGCATTGACTAGGTACAAAGACCCATGTATTTCTTCATGTAGGGAATGAATGTTTAAGACATTAGGTCATTGGTGTTGAATTGTAGCCTCTTTCATTAATACCCTACTGCTCTGTGAATTGGCTATTTTCATGAGTGATATTTTGCGTTTCAAGGAAACCATTAATTCCAAAGAAGGGGTCGATTTTTTGTTTTCGACTTGAAGTGCGATGTATAGAAATATTAAGTTCGTGCACTTGTAAAATAGGGAAGGCTTGGTTGGCCTCAACTGGCGGCAGTAGGGGGGGTCATGAACAAAACCTACTAGGTTTAGGTTGGAGACTACATTTTACAGAGTTTTTGCTACCTGACATGAGATGAGGTAACTCGACTCTCAGAAATGGTATGTTCTGTGAAGTGGAAGAGGAATGACAACTGTGAGGATATTTATGCCTTAGCTAAGAGAATCTTAGCATATGGAATGGTGGAGGGGGATGTTTTTCCACTTAGATTACTTCCTTGATTGGATGAAGGTGGCTTCTTAAAGAGTTGAGCCCAGGAGCTCTGACTGAAGTCGGGGCCTCACGACCTGGCTTCTGGATGTTGAGCTAGTACCATTTTTATGGGAATGGACAGTATCTCCTCTGACATCCTAAGGTCCCTTTGGCCACTCTGAGTTCTTCAGACCATCTTGACACTTGTAACATAGTTTTAAAATGCATGTTTTCTCTACTCTCCTGGATCGTACACAATGAAGACAAATGCCACATCTGATTCCACTTTGCATTTTCCACAGCACTTTGTAGATTGTTCTGCACATACATGGTCAGTGCTGCATTGATGACAGGCTGAAGACAGCTAGTACATTGCACTGTAGAGCCGTGATTTTCAACCTGTTTTTATTTCATGGCACACATAAGCTAATTGGTAAAATTATGTGCATGCCCCCAAATACATCTTTTTGCTACTCTAACAAAAAAAGCTTATAATTTTGATTCATTTGTATCAATGGCTATTGTTGTGTTGGCTGTTGTCATTTTTAAAGTTGACAATCTAAGGGAAAAGAGGCCAGTGTTCCTGAGTAAACAGTCGGGTGCTGCATGTTTTAAAAATTCTTGCAGCGCACCTGTGATTTTTTTTTAGTGCAACCTGCACTCATTGTCGTTAGCACGCATTTTAAGGAGAAAACTTCAAAGTTTACCTTCTCTGAAATCTAATTTGTAGGAGTTTTACTTCTGTGTCTGAAACTTACTTGAATCATACTTTGAACGTGAATTGTGCACACACAGACATTGTGTACCAACAGGACCTAGAAATTAGGTGGGAAAAACTTAGAGACCCAGAACAGACTGTACACACATTGAAGTATTCCAGCTAGATTCTTGGGACTAAAGGACACCTTCCTCACTAAATGAATCTTTACGGCTTTATCTGAGGAAACTAACATCTTGCAAAACTTCTTGGCATAACTTTGCTATTTGTATATTTAAAACAAAATTTAAGGTTTAGCATCAGATCCTCTCTTCTTGCTGTAGCTACTTTGAATCAGCAAAGGGATTTCAAAGGCAGTGGGTGTCACAATGAGGGTTTGCTCATCATGAATTTGAACTAGTTCTAGAATATGATTGCATATTTTTATTAAGTGTTTCATCTAGGTTGCTCTGAAGTGTTTATAGTATCTTTTTTTCTTGGAAATGTTACAGAAACTGTTATTCCAAAGCATTGACTAATTTTGCCTTTCTCCATCTTTTACAAACTGTGCGTGGAGCCTGGCTTGATGGGGGGGGCCATCCTTGTGAATAGTCAGTTACACAGATGTGCTCTGTAGGGATGTATTTTCAGAGCCCAGCACGCTTCATGTGCCAGAAAAGGTCAGAGCTAGGTTAAGGACTTCGGGCTTGGACTTCTGTTGTATGATCTTGACTCTGCTGCTCATTATCTAATTTTGCAATGATGTGTTAACTTTTTGTTCATCTCAGAGAAGCTACAATCTGTCATAACATTTGAGGGGAACGGCTGGCCATCTCTCTTCTTTCCGAGAGCTCTCTTCTTGGTGAAACTCAAATTTCGGTTATTGGAACCCCCCTGATCAGTTGAAAGTCCATGGAGCAACATAAGATATGAGGAAGATCAGCCAATAAAGCCTGACTTATGCTGACATTATATGAAGAACGTGCCATCTAAATAAAACTCGCGGATGCACGTCCTGGCAAACCTCAGGGCTTCGCTGAAGCCAGGTGTGAAAGCTCTGTCTAGAAGCAACAGCAAAATCTAGGGAATTTCTGGCAGGGTCTTTGAAATGACTACGAATTATTTTTATATCCTATTGGTACTTGTCCTGTAATACATGGGAGGCCTGGAGTTTTAAACTGAAACCTGTGAATGAAAGTACTTTCTAAGTTTTAATCAACTCTTTATTTTGAGCAAAGTACTGATGATATCTTTGTAAATCTGTACATCTTTATTATTGTTGATAAATACTAATTTAGTAACATTCAGAAATATTACTTACTAAAAAAGCACTTGGAAATAAGTTGGAAAGACAACAGACAATACTGTATATTGAAGGAAAAATGGATAAAAATTTTTCAGAAAACTAGATGGGAGAATTTGTCCTGTGACAACAGCTACCTTTTGTATCTTTTGTAAAGCATGTTTAATGCAAATTATAATATAGCCTAATAATGCCATTGGAGTTTGATCAAGTTACAGATTAATATTGTGAAAGAGTCCCACCAAATACGGTTTCAGAACTTTTAAAGACCCCAGTTCTAGCTAAATTTTCAGGTCTGACAAACATGGAACTCAATGTATTTTTTAAATTAAGCGTGGCACTCTAGTAGACCAATTAACTGTATGAAATAATTGTTTTTTGAAAGAAATTATACAGTGTGACCCAATAGTATGCCCTATATTATGAAAAGTATAATTTTTATAAACAAGCAAAATTTGAGGCAATTAAACACATTAGAAAGTGGTTTATAATAAATGTCCTTAAAAATAAACAGTTCAGCCCTGGCTGGTGTGGCTAGTGGATTGAGTGCCTGCCTGCTAAGCAAAGGGTCCCTGGTTCCATTCCCAGTCAGGGCACAGGCCTGGGTTGCCGGCCAGGTTCTCAGTTGGAGGCCTGCTAGGGGCAACCACACACTGACGATTCTCTCCCTCTCTTTCTCCCTCCCTTCCCCTCTAAAAATAAATAAATAAGGTCTTTTAAAAAATAAATGAACAGTTCAATCAACACATTTAAGATGATTTCACCTTCTTCTGATCGAGCCCCTGTTTGAAATGATTTGCTGGCTCTTCTTCCTCATGGATTCTAGTCAGTCTACAAAAAGTTTTCTCTTTATTTCATTTACCCCTTACAGAATTTATTAATCCTTACAGATTCCATTGGTTAAACCCTTTTACGTGGATGACTGTACCTTTTCTAACCCTTCCTCGACCTCGTGCCCTAGCTCTATTTCTTCATGTCCCACAAGCTGCTCTTCCCCTTCACTTCAGTGCCTCTGACTCCTCGTCTCCCAACGTCCTTCTCCAACCCAGCGCACCTGAAGTTCTCCATCAGTGAGACTTGAAATCTGGCTGTCCCCTTAAGGTCCTTTCTACCTTATAATCGATGCAGTTGGTAATCTTACGGG